ACACGCTAAGTATGCCACTGCAAATGCCCAATGGCATGGCTAGTGCGAACAGCTTCGAAATGTTCGATTCGGTCTCCTGGTTACTAGACACTCAGCCTGATTGGACGACGTCGTACGGCAATGGCAACTTTGGTAACGAGTTTGGAGTGTAGCAGGCCCACATGATCTTGCTCAGCATGATGGGATTGACTTTCTAGTTTGTCTACTTTCACTCAATTTGGCAGGTGGGGAACTGTTTGCTTGCCCAGAGTGCTATTTGCCCTTGTATTAGCGTGGAGTTTGGAGTTGTGGGTAGGGGAAGGTACGCCTAACTGGTGATGGTCGCTTGGTATTCGGTATTGAGGGAGAGTAGCTCAGTAATGAAGGGAAACTCATCGGTATGAACACAACTTTATCTTGGGAGGTATCTCTACGGAATCAGATTCTTGAGGCATACATAACGCTGAACTTCGTCGAATCATCATGTTGAATGTGATGTGTACGTCCAAGGTAGAGTTCGCCTCTGAGGCACATCTCGGAAAGGTTATAATTAGTTCGGTCTCGCCTCGATGCAAAGAAAAGGAACCTCAAAGGTACACACGTATTGTGTCCAGGGTCATGGTTGCTCCTGCCGTAGCCTCCTCAAATCACTCCTTCCTCAGCCTCCAGCGGCAAGCACGAATAAGCGCCTGCCCGAGCGATCCCAGAAAAATGCAACGTCTCGTCAGATCACCTCCACAACAAAGACCGAAGCAGTTCTCAACTCTCCCGTATCGCCATGACCTCGACCACTTCCCCGCCGTTCTCCCTCGCTTCTCTATCTAACGACCGTCACCCGCGCGTCCTCGAAGCCCACATCGTCATACATATACTCATTCTCAGCACCGCGATCCTACTCCTCATGCAGCTCATATCGCACACGGCTGCCGCTGAAGCAGTCGAAAGCTATGGTATGCCGAAAGAAGCGAAGAAGGAACTCATGCGAATGTTCTTTGAACGAACGGCAGTTTTCGGTTGGGTCTTTATCTATCTGTTTGTGAGTTTGAGGAGTAAGAGTCTGGTACGATAAGGGAGTAGGGATCGGAATTGAGGTCGGGGAGGCAGGATTGACCGTCAGTGTCAGTTGCCAATATTGACGCGTGATAGGTACCGCTGGATGCGCTGCACGCTTCGCTGTGTATTGGATGGTATGCGGATCAGTTTCATCCGGTACGGAGGGAGAGAGATGTGGGTAGAAGGCGAAGAGCTACAAAAGCATGGCTGCAAAGGTTACGGCAGCGCTTTTCCACATGGTGGAATCAGCAGTTGGAACGTCTCGAAAGAAGAGATGGAGAACAAGAAGAAGAACGCTCGCAAAGACCCGCACACGACATGGACCGTCAGCCATCAAGCCAAAACTCTACACTCCGCAACCGCACATCATCACACTGGACCAGCGACTCAGACAACCTACTGTCTTCATCTCCACGATCCCCGCGTCAGCACACGTACCACCCCTTCCTCCACCCGGCCTACAAGCCCCTAGCTCACAACCTCCTCCTCAGCCTCTGGGATACAATCATGTTCCTAACTCTCGCCTCCCACATCTACGTCTACGTATCCAACATCAAGCCCGGCCTCGCTTTCTGCATCGGAAAATTCCACTACCCTCTATGGCATTTCATCTTCCTTCAAAAGGGACTTTCGTTCCAGGCCCGCTGCAATCGCGTCAACTGGGCTATACACAGTGCAGGTGGCATATCAGCGACGGGCGCGATGTTGCTAGCTCTGTGGCATGTATTTGCACTTGTGTGTAGGTTTTGGGGCGGTGTGGGGGAAGGGTCAATACGGAGGATGAAGAGTAAGATGAAGGGAAGAAAGCATAGGGGTGGCGGAGAAGCTATTGGCATGGCAGATTGGCAGTACCCACCGCGAGATGTGGATATACGGTCGAGGAGTTCGCTGAGGAGGAGCATCAGATCAGGAACGCAGTCTGGCACGCAAGCTGGCGCGGAAGGTGGCGAGAGGAGGGAAGGTACGCTTGGTCGGGAGGAGATGGGGGTTGGTATGACGCAGAGAAGAAGGACGAGAAAAGACAAGAGTGATGCAGGTAGTGACAGGAGGAAGGAGAGTAGAGGTAGTAGATGGAGCTGGCAGACGGAGGGGTTCTTCGAGTGTTTGGCTTGATTGGCGGTGCTGCATCGCGGGAGATATCCAGGGTGAATTTGTACACGGAAAGTAGTCGAATCTTCTCTTTTGCCAATCATCATGAAGACCATGAATTGCTTGTCAACTAAGTTGCTGATGGATTTAGCTGAAATTGAACTGTAACTTGACGCTGAGAGCTAAACAGTCTATATCAACCGGTATCTCTTCTGCACCCAGAACGCCGAAGCATGCCAAACGACTTCAAAATCAATGTCCACAGCCACAGTCCTCACCGTGAACAACACCACCATCACCTCTCTTCTTATGATCACCTCCATAGCTCGCGAGGTGCGTCTGACCATCCAGTCTCTGTCCCTCCTCAGGTATCTTACCCATCCAGCTAACCTCCGTACCATTCACATCCAGCACCGTCAACCCCGTACCCTTCTCCCTCAGCTCCTTAGTAACAGCCTCAACATCCACATCCAGATAATCCCTCAAAAAGTCCCCAACCTCAGTGTTCTCATGGTTGCCCACCAGCGCCTTGGCAGCCTCGGGGTCCGAAGAATAGATATTGACATCCGCGCCGCTGTGGCCATGGGTCGACCAGCCGGTCTGTGAACGGCGGGATACCATGTCTGCGTATTGGTAGAGGGAGGTAATCGGCTCGGCAACGAGATCAGCGACTTCCTTGTCGGTGTAGTCGTAGATGCCGAGGCCGGATGTGATGGAACTCCGGACAAAGTTGGCCTTGTCCTCGTCAGATGGGCCGGCGAGGAGGTACTTTGTGTATTCGAGGGCGAGGCGCTCGGCGGAGTGCGAGGCGTTTGCGAGGGGGGAGGGGTACCAGAGGTATTCGGGGTAGGATGCGTGGAGTTCTGGTGAATGTTAGTGAGGGTTGCTACTGGAGGGGTGGGGAGAACGTACGGCGGGCAACGGCTAGACCACCTGTCTCGTGGTCCGAGGTGGAGACCATGACTGTCTCTGTCTTCTCGTTCTTGATAAAGTCCAGTACGCTCGTAAAGGTCCTGTCGTATGCGAGCACCTCGTGTACCTGAGCAGCAGGGTCGTTGTGGTGGCCTGCGTGGTCGATTCTTGATCCTTCAATCATAAGGAAGAAGCCCTTGTCGCTATCCCTGGTCGCATCGCTGAGCGCCTTCATGGCAACCTCAGCCATCTCGTGCAGGCTAGGGTAGATGTCGTTTTCGTTGCGGCGGTCAATCTCGTAGGGAATATCTGTGTCGGCATAAAGTCCCAAGATAGGCAGATCTAGGCCCGCTCCTGTTTTCAACATGTCAAAGCCCGCGCGGTCGTCGACGTATTTGTATCCTTTCTTCTTGGCCAGTTCCACGATATCCTTGTTGTCGGCGCGGCAGCTTGAGTCGACCGTCGAGTTGGGCAGGAAGTGGCATCGGCCGCCTCCAAACATCAAATCCACGACGCGCCCAAGCGGGTAGTCTCCGACCATCTGTTCTGCGATGCGGTCCTCTTCCGATCGCATGTTGACGTGAGCGGCGAAGCATGCCGGTGTCGCATCGGTGATTCTCGTGGTCACAACGAGACCAGTCATGTATCCTGCCTTCTTGGCCGCTTCCAGCACTGTGCCGCATGGCTCGTGGTCGGGTGTTACGGAGATGGCACCGTTGTAGCTCTTCTGCGCACAAGAGAATGCAGTCGCGCCTGCTGCCGAGTCGGTAATGAGAGAGGAAGAGGACCGTGTCCGCGACTGTCCGATAAGGTGTTGATCGATAACGAGCTGCTCACTCCAGGGTGCGCCGTTCTGGAACTGCATGAATGATCTCGTGAGCGACAGCGAGGTAGGGCCCATGCCATCAGACACCATGAAGATCAAGTTCCTCTTCCCGTTCGCATGTGAAGCCTTGGAGTCGGAACCGGCCTTCTGGAAGATGACGGCGAGCACGATGACGGCCGCGGTTGCGATGACAGCCCAGACAAATAGACCTATTTCTCTCCAGAACTTCCATGATCGCGGCCCGTCCTTCTCCGTGTGTGCTGTTGGGCGGCCTGTGAGCAGGGCTTCATCTTCTGCTATGTCGCGCTCTCCGCTGATGTCCGAGGACGCGCGTGCGGAGAGGAGTGGGCGAGCGCCGGACATGTTCGTGGGTGAAATGTGGTAGACGCTCTAGTGGGCGAGGTGGAGGTTGTAAGTGGACCAAAGGAGTGTCGGGGTGTCTCAAGGGAACATGGCGCTGGGTGTCGAGTCAATCTACCGCCGGTCACTCTGTCGGGAGGCCACGAGATGTCGCACCGGCTGATCGACATTGGGGTGGAACACTTGCGGGGACGTGCGCCTCGACGCTAGGAATAGCATCATCTGGAAGTGAGGCATGACCGCTGAACGACACTGACATAATCCTTGCTGTCGTGAAGGTTTGTTAAATACTGAAGGGTGAAGAATATGGTTTCGTTTGAACATGTCATAAATGGAAACTACGTCGCGCTGCACAGCTAGATGGACCCTTAACCACTCTTCCAACCCCACCCAACTATCCCATCGAACACCAGTTCCACTTCCCCATCCTCTCCAACCTCCTGCTGTACGATGCCTTTCATAGCACCATTCAAATCTTCTAGGATTCCCTCTCGCTCGCCCTGCCACCATGTACTCCTTACATAATGCAGCGGAAACTGCATAGTCGCTACGAAAACATCTGGCGTCCCAACGCTTACAGCTTTCTTCTCGTTAGAGGTCCTTACTCTTCCCAAGCCCACTGCTTCAAACTGCTGTGCCAAGTACGACTCATCAGCCCAAAGTCCGCAGAACTTTTCTCGCAGTTCCTCACGCGAGGGCGAGTAAGGCTGTGGCGCGTTCGTGAGAGCGATGCTGCGAGTGAGAAGGCTATCCCATGACATGCTTGACCACGTTGCAACTGCTATGTATCCGCCTGGGCGCAACAGTGAGCAAAGATGCGTGAGTGTCTGTGCGGGGAGCATGGATATAGCGAAGGAGATGAATATATGTGTGTATGATGCCTTGGGGAGAGCTTGGGTTATGTCGGTCTGGAAGAAAGCATTAGTATCAACCCAGTGCTGGAGCGTCCGCAGACACGGATAACTCACATTCCCATCTACCATCTTCGTATCCAGTTTCTTCCATCCCTGCGTCTCTCCTCGCGCTCTCAAATGTTCCAACATCGGGGGACTGATGTCAGTGCCCAGCACTTTCAGCTGTTCCCACTTCTCTTTTGGTACTGTATCGTAGATTTCCTGTGCAACAACTCCCGTTCCACATGCGAAATCGAGTATATTGGCTTCAGCTCCTGTTTCGAGATAGGCAGCTATTCCTGATTGTTGGACGATGGTTTTGACATAAGGGCGAGTCGCCTTCTCGGCATTCTTGTACTTGTGCGCGGATTCAGCGTCGAGGAAACTTGCCATTGTGTATCGAGAGGTAGGAAGGGTCATTTTAGATGAGCTGGATATCGGGATGTGAGTTGGATTTAATCTGGTGTGCTGTGTGTGATGCGATTAACATGAGAGCCGGCATCCCTCATATATACGATGGCTGAGCATCGCCCGGCAGCACTACATTGCAAACCCTCTTGCTCGGAGACAATGTCAGTGAGCGTATACGATCGGGCGTATAGAGAAGAAATTCTCCACAGTCGATGTCAGCTGTGCTCACGTATGTCTCCGAGAGCGATTTTCATGGTTTCGGAGACTTCATACGACAGGCTAGCAGAGCATTTTAACAACAGAACTCAACGCCCCACGCATGCTTACGAGGCATAGTGAGATACCGGAACTGCATCATGCTTCTATGCAAAGGCCAAATAATTTAACGTTTAAATGTTTGGTTAAATATGATGGGTATACCTTTTCGATCTTCCTTGTAAATGCTGACACCCCAAACTCCGCGCTATGCTACCTAATCAAAATTCCTCTTGTTTTTTTTCAAACGCCTGAGCCACGCCGTTGGAGATCACAATGACCTCATGCGTCTCGAAGCGTCTATATTTCCTCGGATGAAGTCTCCAGCCATTGACCAAAATAGACGCATGTCCTTGCTGAGATCTCACCCTCGTTTCCGCAAAGATCGAAAACAGGGCAATTACCGCAAGGCGCATCCACAAAGCCGTTGTAGACCTTGGTGTCGGTGGCGCGTAAGACGGTGCGGTAGTTTGTGCCAGAGATCTTCTCAAGCCGGTCGTCGAGAACCATCATCTCCAAAAGTTGCTCCATATCGTCCTCCCTCACAGTCTTGCCACGCAGGACCTCCTTCGAGTTGAGCCAGTTGGCCACAGAGGCCGCTGTCGGGTATTGCGGGTTGTGTCGGTGGACGAGCTTGGATGTGTTTGGGTCCTTTGCGGGGTTGTAGGGCTTCACGGCTGGCGCCTCTTCTATGTCTCGCACGGCGCCCAGAACCTCGGCCTTCTTCTGAGCGATAGCAGCTGTCCTGTCGCCCGTGCTGTCATAGTCGTTCCAATTGCCGGGCACTTTGATGCAGGTTTCGTTCTCCACATGCTGAGCGACGATGCCCGATATTGTTTCAATCAGTGCCATGTCGAAGTCACCCTCTGACTGCCATGGGCCACCTGCAATGTCTTCTGATGGTTTCAAGTGCTTCAAGAGGTACATCTTCCGGTTGGGGAACTTGACGCTCATGACCGACTGCACCAAGTCCTTCGACTCCAAGCTCTTGAGGCATTTTGTGAGGGTCTGTTGTGTGACATTTGTTTTGGCTCGGAGGGATTTGGACCAGATGCCGTCGGCTTGTACTGAGTCGATGTGGGAGTAGAGGAGGCGTTCGTCGGGTGTGAGTCGTCGCAGTCTGAGAAGGGATGTCTGTCAGAAGAGTTCAAGATGCCATGTCCGCGAGAGTCTAGACCTACTTGTCGGCTTCTTCCCTTGTCCTCAGTTTCCAGCACATTTCGCCCTCGAGGCTCATGAGCTTCAATAAGTGGCGGTCGCATAGCTCTTGCAGCAGCACTATTAGCTGAGCCACAGTATCTGCGACCTGCATGTTGGAAAGGTCGCGCTGGAAGAAGATTTGGCCCGCAGGCCGTTGGGCGCATTTGTCGTATAGAGCATCGGCGGGGCTGATGACTTCGGTCGCGGAGGTTTCGGCGGGCTCCTCCTTCGGCGCGGGCGACGGCGCTACTGCTGAAGCCATGGTGTGCGATATTGGACGGAAGTGGTGCTATCGGTCGGGCATGCGAGTATCGCGAGTGCGTTCAAGTCGCGACATGTGAATCACCAAAAGTTTTGAGTGGAGCCCGCCGCGAACCACGCCCAATCACGCTTCTGTGGCGCAAGTACCCGCTCCGGGTCACCCACCATCCCACGATCCCAGGTTTACTTCGGGAATCCCTTGTTCTTAGATGACTGCATCAAAGCGAATCGGATAGCATGCACCTCGTATAATTTATGGCAGCTACACCTCCCAGGGGCTATCATAGGCTCGGCGGCATCCTCTCGAGCTTCCAATTTCCCCACGGGACGCAGATGCGGGGAACGTCACACCGAACCTACATCCTCGTCGCGTCGCCCATCCCAGACCTGCTCAGTGCGCCAACAAAAAGCTCCGTATCGAGGTGCAGGTGAATAAGACGCCGTCAGTGTTCCCGTCACGAGTGTTCCACCATCCACTCTGCCGGCATCGACTATGCCATGGACTAACGTGAGACGTTGGAGTGGCTTGATCTGGCTCGAGACTCTATCGCAGCTGAAAGTAGACCGCACGAGTCCAGACCCCGCATGCGTGTTCCGCTAGATCAGCAGCGTAACCCGGTTAACGACTGTCGAAAGAAGGCCGAGCAGACTACTGCAGCGCGGGAAACGTTAGACGATCTTCTCTCGAGCATTCGACGATCCTGCAACCACGGGTTGGGGACACGTCTTTGTGCAGTCGAGATTATCTAGTCGCTGCATATAGAAATCTGCTGCATTTCGACGACGTGTATATGTCGTAGTATCCATGCCTAGCTGTCTGCACGATCCACAGGTTCCCTTCACCAGGGCATCAAGTTCACGGGACTCCCGGTTACCGTCATCCGGGTACTGCCCCATCAGCCTCCTCGAGACCACAGCATTCAGCCTCTACCGAACACCCCCGACTCCGGGGCTTCCGCTGCTTAACGCCAGAGCACGTGGATTTGGCTTGCGCGTAACATTTTGGCCCGATGAAGACGTTCGAGATACCAGTCGGTATACGAGAACTTGCCCTTATGTAGACAAAGTCGATCATTACTCCGGATTTCTAAAACGTGGCGCTGACATGACAGTGTCCCCGGCTATCTGGAACCTGCCTTCACCAGGTAAGTCTCCACCTAATTCTGGGGTACCCCAGATTTTCACCCATGATTCGTGAGCCACTTGTGCATGATAAAGATAACCCAGAGCCCAGTGTGGTTGCACAACTCTAGCCTCTGCGTTTCTTACGCAACCTTCCACAGAGGCCGTCAACATCGAACCAACATCAATCCATCATGGCGGAAGAGAAGCAATACCGCGAAGAAGTCACCACCACCAACGAGAGCCTCACTCATCAGCATACCGCCAGCAGTCACGGCCTTCACCATGATCATGTCGCTCAAGAAGCCCTTGGTGGCCATACCGCTGATTTGGGCAAGTCATACTTCACAAGCATCAACTTCATCGGCACTGTCGTGGCCACATGTCTAGCGCAAATCTCTGGGTAGGTGCTTCCATTAATTACTGGAGATGAAGGTACTAAAAGTTTCCAGCTACCTGGGGTGGGTTCTCCCCGCAAACACATTGAGCCTCATCAACGCGGCCATCGGACCGTCCCCGGACATCATCTGGGTCGGTATTTCCTGGACAGCTGGATTCGCCATCGGCTTCACACTTGTCGGTCGCCTGTCGGATATCTTCGGTCGTAGATGGTTCTTCATCTGCTCGTCAATACTCGGTCTTGTTGGAAACATCATTGGCGCGAGTGCACAGAGCATTAACATGTTGATTGTATGTTCGACTGATTACAGCCTACGAATGATACTGACTGTTCCAGGCAACAAACTCCATCAATGGTCTTGCCGCAGCTGGCCAACTTTCATTCCACATCATCCTTGGCGAACTTGTTCCAAACTCTTTGAGAGGTCCTGTGAATGCTTTCGTGCTGTCAACGTCAGTGCCATTCGCCGTCTTTGGTCCGCCAGTAGCACGATCGCTCTACCAGACTACCGAGCTGCAATGGAGGTGGTGCTATATCCTCGGATGCATTGTCAACGTACTGGCAATTGTTCTATACTTCTTCTTCTACTTCCCCCCAACATACGTAAGGAAGCCCACTTCAGCCAAGACAAACCCGACTAACAAACGCAGGAAATGCTTCACGTTGGCGGCAAATCGAAACTCAAACAACTCAAAACCCTTGACTGGATGGGTATCTTCTTGTTCTCAACTGGTCTCGTCGTCTTCCTCATTGGTATGAACTGGGGCGGCTCTGCATACCCATGGAAGAGCGGCCACGTACTGGGAGCACTGTTCGCTGGCTTTGCCACTCTGGTTGCTTTCTGTTTCTGGGAGGCCTACGCCCCAGGACTGGAATATCCCCTTATTCCTCTACGTCTGTTCAGGAACATCGAGTACGATGCCAACGTCGCCTGTGCTAGTCTGGCAGCCATTGTCTACTACGCAAACTCGATCATCTGGCCTACGATGGTCTCCTCGCTCTTTACCACAGACATCACCAAGATTGGATGGCTCTCGGTAAGTCTTCCAAAAATCATACCATCCTGATAATCTTGTTCTAACAAACACAGTGCGCCGTTGGTGGAGGACTTCTCCTCGGTCAGATCCTCGGAGGCGCCGGAGTCCGCTACCTCCCACGCATGAAGATCCAAATGACCGTCGCAGCCGTCATAACCACCGCCTTCGTCGCCGCGGTCGCCGCCTCGGACGAAACAACAGAACAACGCACAACCGCCTTGCTCCTCATCGGCACCATCGCCGCAGGCTACATCGAGAACCTCACTCTATCCAGCACAGCCTACCTCTGGGACCCCGCTGATATCGGTCTCGTCACTGGTGTCATGGGCGCTATCCGAACAGGTCTCTCTGCCATTGCCACAAGCATGTACTCTTCCATTCTCGCAACCGAGTCCGCAAAGTACATACCGCAAAAGGTCATGCCTGTTGCGCTTGCTGCTGGTCTTCCTGAAACGTCACTTCCGGCGCTGTTCACTAGTATCACGGCTGGTGACTTCAGCGCTGTACCTGGCATTTCGCCTGAGATTATCGCAGCAACGGGACAGGCTGTCAAGAGTGCGTATGCACTGTCTTTCCGCACGGTGTATCTCTGCACACTTCCGTTTGGCGTGCTGCTTATCATTGCGGCGGTGCTGTCGCCGAATGTCGAGCAGTATCTTACGGATGAGGTGGCGAGGAAAATGCATGGTAGGGGTGATGAGAAAGGTGATCAGGCTGTTATGAAGGAGGTTGTCGATGCTTGAGTAGAGGACATTAGGCTTCACAGGTAGCATGGATGTCGAGTTCTCCAGGGAAATGAAATGAATTGAGTTCTTTCTCTGATAAGGCAAATCAAGAAGTGTTATCATCCAGATGATACTATGAGCATACTTTTGATGTTTAGCGGTGTTGCCCTGATCGCATACCCGGAGAAGTGACTTTTCCTGTAGCCATCACGCCATACGTAGCACCATACCGACAGGACACATCAGTCCATACCATTTCTTCATTGCTAATACCAAAAAACAAGTCAAAGTCGCGCCCTCTGATGCAGACCTAACAATTCATACATACGCACCACTTCACCTCTTCTTATTCCTCTTAGCCGCCCTCTTCTCACCCCTGACATCCTTCTTCAACCTAGCATCCACCATCTTATACTTACCCTTCGTACCCTTGGGCCTAGTCTTGATACCCTTGTTACCACCCCTAGCCACAATAACGCTGACCTTCTGCTTGGGCTTCTTCTTGGCAGCCCTCGACATCAAGCGTGCAATACTCTGTGCCTTTTCCTTCTCCGTCATACCCTCCTCGTCGGCGAGGAGCGCAGACTTCTTCTTCAGCTTCTCCATGCGCTGGGCGGCCTTGAACTTCTTGCGGGCTTGCGCTTCGCGGACCTTCTTGATGGGTCGTGCGTTCAGGGCGCGCAGTTTCTCCTTGATGGCGGAGGCGGCGGCGGCGGTGGTGGGCCGTTGGAGCTTGGAGTGCTTGTTTTCGTCGTCGAGGAACCAGTCTGGGAGGCCGTCGACGTCGCGGAGGGAGTAGCGGTTGAAGGATTCGTCGAGGAGGTCGTACTTTGTTTTCTGGCCTGTGGCCATTTGGTGAGCGAGGGTCATGGCCTCGGCGGTGATGATGTCGATGTCTGGCCTGCCGTTCTTCATGGGCATGCTGTCTTGCTCCCATTGATCTTCGTCGCGCTTGACTTCTTCGATCTTGTCATCGTCGTCCGAGGATTCCTCGTCGAATGCTGAGGGCGAGGCAGCCTTGGTAGCCGTTCTTATGCTCAGTTCCTGCTCAGTAGCTGGCGCGGGGGTGGCAGGTTCGTCCTTCATCTCGGTGTCACCTTCAACATCGATACCACTGTCATCGTCTTCCTCTTCCAGATCCTCGAGCCCGTCGATGCCCTTGAAGATGTCCTGGTCGAAGAACCGTGCTGCGCGCTTGGTGAGACCGGTCTTGGGCTGCTCTTCGTTGTCGAGGTCGGTGATTAGGTTCTTAGGGCCTTCCTCCTCGTCATCGCTCCAATCGCTGTCGGACTGTACAAGCTCTTCGTCGTCACTTTGTTCTTTGTCTTGATCAGAGAAACCATTGAACTCTTCGTCGTCGTCCTGTTTCCTTGCACGCTTTGCCCTGTACTTGGCGTCTCTTGCTGATCTCTGCTCGACGTATTCGCCGTACATGTTGTCAAGGTCTCGTTCAAGACGATCCTCTTCGTCGTCAGTTTCCGGTTCCTCCTCTTCTTCCTCTGGCTGTTCGCGTTCAATGACTTGCGCCATTCTACCCTTGGCGATCCTGTTCAGAGCACCGGCCTTGTCGACTGCCTTGAGGCCGAACATGGAATCCTCGCCAGTTGGTCCGGCCTGTTCCAGACCGATCTCAAAAGGTGTAGCCATGTTCATTTGTAGACGAGTGATCTCTTTTTGCTTCCGCTCGTTCTCAGCTCGGCGCTGCTTCTTTCTCGAC